GGAGGATGGGTTAGGGGGAGGATGGGAGGATGGGTTAGGTGAGGACGGGAGGATGGGTTAGGTGTGAGGATGGGGGGATGTGGTTAGGGTGGGGATAGGGGATGGGTTAGGTGAGGATGGAGGGATGTGGTTAGGGTGGGGATGGGGGATGGGTTAGGGCGAGGATAGGAGGGTGGGTTAGGGTGGGGATGGGAGGATGGGTTAGGTGAGGATGGGAGGATGGGTTAGGTGAGGATGGGGGGATGTGGTTAGGGTGAGGATGGGAGGATGGGTTAGGTGGGATGGGAAGATGGGTTAGGTGAGGACGGGAGGATGGGTTAGGTGAGGATGAGGGGATGGGTTAGGGTGGAGATGGGGGGACGGGTTAGGGTGAGGATGGGAGGATGGGGCTCGGATGCATGGAAGGGTGGGGTTGGAATGGGAGGATGGATTTGGGGTGGAGCTGGGAAGACCAGGGTTAAGATTGCACAGGAAGCCAGTGTTATCATCCATGGCAGAGAAGCTCGGGGCAGTTACAAAGCAAGTGTTCTCTCAGTGAAACAACTGACATCACCCAGACCAGATTCATCTGCAGGAAACGTTGAGACTCCTCCACATGTAATGTCATATTTATAGGGCTCCGAGGGTCCCGAGACAGTGACCCTCATGGGCCTGGTAGAACTGGCAGAAAATTCTCAAGGAGAGATTTGCCCATTGCCTCCCTCCAGGGTCCCTGGACACTTACACTTTGCCTGTTAGGGGCCAGGGGTCGTGAGCTCTATTTAGGCACCTGCTGGGTCCCTAAAACATGCAGGTGGCCCTCCCCCCTTAAACAAGCGGCTGAAACCACACACAAGTTCTCCTTCCCGTCAGGATGTGGGCTCAGAGCTCTCAGAAGCAGCCCAGCCACACAAGTCAACTCCCAGTCTATAAAAGAAACCTCTCTCCCATCCTTGACGTTTCACAATTGCTTACTCATTCCTTTGGCTATAGCCTTAGGGTGGTGTTTAAAGTAAATATCCCTTGGAGAAGGAATGCATTGTGCCATATTAGTTGTACCTTTGTGGAGATTAGTTGTACCTGGTGGCAAAGTGGTTAAAGCACTCAGCTGCTAACTGAAAGCTCAGTGGTTCGAACCCACCAGTCACTCCTCAGGAGAAAGATGTGGCAATCTGCTTCGGTAAAGATTGCAGCCTTGGAAACCCTACAGGGCAGTTCTATCTGTCTTCTAAGGTCACTAGGACAGCAGTGGGTTTTTTTTTTTTTTTTTCCTTTGGTTGTGGAGATTATTAGGTGGGTCCTCTCCTGCAAGCAGGGCACAGAGAAGGCGGGGACATGGAGATAAGGTGGGGTCAGCAAGGGCCCGGGAGCAGAAGGAATTGTCCCTCCTCCCTCGGGTTCCTTGTCTGAAGGTTCTCTCCCCACAGTCCTGCCTCCCCTCCCCACGTCCACTTCCCCCACCCCGCAGTCTGATAACCGGGGGCTGATGTGTACGTAACTGACCACCAGGCCCCTCTGATCCTCTTCCCCCCAGGCCTCCCGGAGCAGAGCCATGGCGACGTGGCCGCGATCCTGCCGGTGGCGGGCATGTCAGCTGTGGTGCTCACCGTGGTCCTGATGCTCATCTTCAGCAGGTGACCTTCCCAACCTGAGAACGTCACTCACTGAGGGAAGGCGGGCACAGAACAATACAGATGTATGAGTCTATTTAAAGGATACAGATTCATGAGTGTATTTACAGGATACAGATTTATGAGTCTCTTTAAAGGATACAGATTTATGAGTGTATTTACAGGAAATGTCCGAAATAGCAAATCCATAGAGACAGAGAGCAGATTGGTGGTTCCCAGGGTCTGGTGAACAGGGAAAGGGGGATTTATTGCTAATGGATAAGGGTTTTTGTTTGGGGGTGCTTGAAGAGTCTTAGGGTGCTTGGAGAGTTCTGGGGTGCTTGGACAGGCTTGGGGTTGCTTGCAGAGACTTGGGGGTGCCTGGAGAGTTCTGAGGTGCTTGGAGAGACTTAGGGATGTCTGGAGAGTTCTGGGGGTGCTTGGAGAAACTTTGGGTACTTGGAGAGTTCTAGTGTGGTTGGAGAGACTTGGGAGTCTGGAGAGACTTGGGGGGACCTGGAGAGTTCTGGGGTGCTTGGACAGGCTTGGGGGTGTTTGGAGAGACTCGGGGGTGCCTGGAGAGTTCTGGGGTGCTTGGAGAGATTTAGGGGTGCCTGGAGAGTCCTGGGGTGCTTGGACAGACTTGGGGCTGGGAGAGACTTCGTGGGGGTTGGAGAGTTCTAGAGGTTCCTGGAGAGTCCTGAGACACTGGGAGGGTCCTGGTCACCCCATCAACCCTCTCCCTGTCTGCCCCACCCAAGCACTTCTTGCTGGAGAGGCGGTGCCCTGTGCAGCCTCCGTGGGGAGGGCCAGGGTGGGGCAGTGTGGCTGTGTCTCTGGGCTCCGCCTCCAGGCCTGTGGCGGGGAGGGCCTGGCCTGGGGCGGTGGTGGCAGGGTGTTCCGGCCTCAGCTCTTCCTCCAGCGAGCCCAGCTTCTTCCAGCTCCTCGGGGCTGAGTGCTGGCCACCAGCTCCCTCAGGAGGGCGGCCACCCCAGAACCCGCAGTCACCCCTGTCCCCTGGAGGGGGGCTCCCTGGCACCTCCCTGACCAACAGCCTTAGGAGGAGTCTGTGGCATCGCGGGGCACCGGGTCCTCGCTGGACACAGCAGCCAGGACCTCTGTCCCCTCCACATAGGGGAAGGTCCCCAACACACCTGGTGTTGGCCGGACGAGCGTGACCAGTGCTTCCAGATGGGACAGCTCGGGGCTAGTATCCCTGGTTCTCCAGGTGGACAGCAAGGTTTCCAGAGTCTGGGATGAGGTTCCAAGGCAAGGCTCCCCTCTTCAAATTCAGGGCCCACCAGGACGGGTTTGTGTTGGGATCCTTAACTTAGAAAAACATCTGCTGTCCAGCTGACTCTGGCTCACAGCGCCCCCCTATGTGTCAGAGTAGAACTGTGCCCACAGGGTTTTCAGTGGCTGATTTTTCAGAAGTGGATCGCCAAGCCTTTCTTCCGAGGTGCCTCTGGGTGGACTCGAACCCCCAACCTTTTTGGTTAGCACCTGAGCATGTTAACCATTTTCTGCACCCTGGAATCCCTCTAGATGCATAGTAATTACCTATCAATACCAAAATACAGTGAAACCTGTGAGAGCCGGAACTCGATGGGACTGCCTTGTTTTTCCAGGTCTCGCAAGTTTTCGCCTTTGACAGGGTGCCATCCTGGTGGAAAATAATTGAGTTTTCCTTCTCTGACAGACTTCTGCCTTGCACAGGTTCTGGCTTTTCGTATGTATATAGGAGCTCTGGTGGCACGGTGGTTAAGCACTTGGCTGCTAAACGAAAAGGTAGTTCCAACTCAACAGCCCCTCCTGATGTAGCAAGCAGTCTGCTTCCATAAAGATTCCCACCCACTGCCGTCGAGTCGATTCTGACGCATAGCGACCCCATAGGGTTTGCAAGGCTGTACATCTCTACGGAAGCAGACCGCCACATCTTTCTCCCGCGGAGCTGCTGGTGGTTTTGAACTGCTGACTTTCGGTTAGCAGTCGATCGCTTTAACCACTGTGCCACCAGGGTTCAAAAAGATTATAGCCTTGGAAACCCTATGGGACATTTTTCTACTCTGTGCCATAGCGTTGCTATGAATTGGAATTGACTTGACGACAATGGGTTTAGACGGTTTAAAGATAAACCGGTTGTTATTGAATCGATCCCGACTCATGGAGACCCCGTGTGTGTCGGAGTAGAACTGTGCTCCACAGAGTTTTTGATGGCTGATTTTTCGGAAGTAGATCACCAGGACTTTCCTCCTAGGCACCTCCAGATAGGTTCAAACCTCCAACTCTCAGTTTAGCAGCTGAGTGCTAACCGTTTGCAGCACCCAGGGGCTCCTCCTTGATTTAATTACATCTGCAAACACCCTTCTCTTTCTCTTCCCACCAGGAACTCTGTGAGGCAGACGCTGTTCCTGCCCATCCCGCAGGTGAAGAGCCTCCTCACTCCAAACGCTGAGGTGAGTAGGTTCCACCCTTGGGAGCCCCCGGCCCTGAGAAGCCAGAGCTGGGGATGTCTGGTGTGGGGGCAGGGTTCCCTCCTTCCTACGCAGACCCCACCATCTGGGGCTGGCCGGTGCGTGGAGGTGAGGGGCAAGGGCGGAAGGAGAGAGGGGTTGTGCCCAGCTGCCTTCCACAAAGCCCTCCACCCTCCTCCCTGTCTAAGCGCTCCTGACCCTCCATTGCTAACTCACAGAAGGGCCAGATGGATCCACACTGGAGACCCCTCAGCTGGGACATGAGTTCCCGCTCTTCTCTCTCTCTCTCTCTGTCTCTCTCTCTCTCGGTCTCTCTCCCTCCCTCCCCTTCCTCCTCCTTCTTCATCATCTTCTTTTCCCCCATGTCCTCCTCCTTCTCTCTCTGTCTGTCTGTCTGTCTCTCTTTCCATTCGAGCCCCGCCACCCCCACCCTCACCAAGTCCGCTCACCTGTCAGGCTGCTTTTCCCTGATACTTTCCCAGCTGGAGGATTGGGGACACAGCAGTCCGTCTTCTCACTGGTTGCTGTCTTCTCTCTCAGATCGCCTGGGAAGGGAACCACCAGCCTCCAGACACCCAGGAGCCTGAATTCCTCATCGTGGAGGAAATGGGATAATCTGCAGACGGACAAGCAGACTGTGTGCAGCCAGCCCCACCCCACTTCCACAAATCTCATTCTACACGTTGTCTACTTGGGTGGCTTTGAAAACCAGGCTGTTTGTGAGCGTTTTCTGACTGGACTTCAATGCTGTCATCAGAGCCGTGCGTCTGTGTCCATGGTCGACCCACTGCTGTCAAGTCGATTCCGACTCACGGCGACCCCATGTGTTACGGAATAGAACCGAGCCTCCTAGGGTTTTCTTGGCTGTGATCTTTATCAAAGGAGCCTTGGTGGCACAGTGGCCAAGTGCTCAGCTGGTAACCAAAAGGTCAGCGGTTCAAACCCACCAGCAGTTCCACAGGAGAAAGACCTGGCAACGTGCTCCTGTAAAGATTACAGCCTAGGAAATCCTATGGGGCAGTTCTACTCTATCACATGGGGTCGCTAGGAGTCAGAATCAATTCGATGTCACCCACGTGTGTCAGAGTAGAACCGTGCCCCATAGGGTTTTCAATGGCTGATTTTTCAAAAGTAGATCGCCAAGCCTTTCTTCCGAGGTGCCTCAGGGTGGATTCGAACCTCCAACCTTTCAGTTAGGAGCCGAGTGTGTTAATCACTTGTGCCACCCAGGGACTCCAAGTAGACGATGGTCCATCCCAACAACGGACTGCCAAATAGCAACATAATTGCAAATTTAGACAATCAGTACCAGAGCACCCTGGAAGTGGATCCATCTTGGTGAACATGTGCGCATTAAAAGTTCTTGAAGGGTGCACCCCAAATCTTGAACAAGGCACTCGCTGGTGGGTGGGGTGAGGGAGAAAAGGAGAAGGATGTTTCCTAATGAATATGCTTCCACAGTATTTAAATGTATTACTGTATTCCTTTTGTAATTACTTTTTTCTTAAGTTGTTATTAGATGTAACAAAACGTTTGACACTTTGACGATGTTCACAAGCACGGTTCCACGGCATTGTGCTCCTCCTGAGTTCAGCCATCACCATCCTCCATTCCCACGTGTTTCCATCACCCTTAACAGAAGGTCAGCGTCCTCTAAGCAATGACTTCCTTTTCCCTGGCCCTCCCACCTGCCCGTAGAAATCACTAATAAACTTGGATCTCTATAAACTGGCGTCTTCTAAACATTTCATTCTAATGACTTTTGCTTGTACCTTGGTGGCAAAATGGTGAAGCACTCGGTCGGTAACCCTAAGGTCAGCTGTTTCAAACCACCAGCGGCTCTGCAAGAGAAAAGACCTGGTGATCTGCTCCCATAAATATGACAGCCTAGAAAACCCTGTGGGACACTTCTACTCTGTCACATGGGGGCGCTAGGAGTCAGAATCACCTCTAGGGAACCCAACAACAACAATGTAGCATGTGGCAATGATGTAGCATGTATCAGAACTTCATGTCTCCTTATGGCTGAGTGATAGTCCATTGTACGGATGTACCACGTTGTGTTTATCCATCTGTTGACGGACGTTTCGGTTTTTCCACTTTCTCTCTCTCTCTCTTTAAAAGAGAGCTTTAAGGATAAGGAAAGAGATTCAGGGAAAAGGCTCGGAAACAGACCCCTAGGTAGCAGAAATCTAGGTGCTACGGAAGACTCGAGACGTCAACTCTCCCTGCACCCCGTTTATAAATATTGAGGGGTACAGGGAGCAACGGAGAGAGGCTGAATATATAACACATAGCAAGTTTAAGGCTGAGCTGAGCTTAGGAAAATACTGTTCTCCTGTGACTTTTAAAAGTATGTATTAAATGTTTGAGTTGGATTCCGACCCTTTAAAAAGGAAATTGATTTCCCAAGCCCTGCGTCATTTCTGGATATTCTGAAGGAACGTAAAAACACAGCGGGAGGGAGGCGTTAAGACAGATAACTGGCAAGGAGGTCTCTGCTCAGATTAGAGCCGTCACCTGCATGGATGACAGGTCAGAGCGCTGAAGAAATGCAGATTTCACAAAAGGAAGCAGCTGCCGCTAAGGGGGTTTTACTTTCCCAGCGGGCATCCGGTTTGGGGCGGTGATAAGGAGAAGCCACAGCCACGTCTTTCAAAGAACTTCCCTTTGGCCAAGGAAGCTTGTGAAAAACAACGTTCCCCGAAATGCAGAAGCCCTTGACATTGCTGGGGCTGTGACCTCGGATACGTCACGTCACAACGCTGAAAGCCAGCCTGTGCGGATGGCACCTGTGATAAGGAGAAGGGGCCGAATGACGGGGCGACGCCCTCAGCGAGGTTTCACAAACCTCGCTCTGAGAACCAAGGATACGTTTCCCTTGGCAACACCAGCTCTGGCTCCGTGGGTAAGCTTAGACCCGGGAGCCTCTGTTGACTCGGGTAAATTTAACCCAAATCAGAACTTGGGGAGTCTGCCAAGGCCGTGGCAGTTGTTGGAAGGTTCAGAATGGAGGGCTCGTTGGTGTGCAGAGGGGGTTGGGGACCCGCATGATAGCCGAGCCCCTGATTCTGGGGATGAGTGAGCGTCGGAGAAGGAAAAGAAAGTAAGGTATTGTGTGGGTGTCCTGGGTCCACGGCAACAAAGCATTGCACACTGGGGGGCATTGCACACTGGGGGCATTGCACACTGGGGGCATTGCACACAGGAGAGGTATTGCACACTGGGGGACTGAAGACCACAGGAATTTATGGTGTCTCAATTCTGGGGACCAGAAGTCCGAAATCAAGGGTCGCACTCCTTCCGGAGGCTCTAGGGGAGGATCCTTCCTCATCTCTTCCAGCTCCTGGTGGCCCCAGGCATTCCTGGGCTTGAGGCCGCATCGCCCCAATCTCTGCCCCGTCTTCACGTGGCCGTCTTCCCCTCTGTGTCTCTGTGTGTGTGTCCCCTCTTCTGTCTCTTACAAGGACACTTGTCATTGGATTAGGGCCCATCCTAATACAGGATAATCTCACCCCAAGAGCCTCACCTTTATTCCAACAGCAATGACCCTATTTCCAAATCAGCTTGCATTCTGAGGTTCCCGGTAGACATGAGTCTGGGAGGGCACCACGCAACGCGCTAAAAACAAAGCAGAACAAAATCACCGGCCGTTGAGTCAACCCTGACTCACGGCGCCCCCACGCGTGTCAAGTAGAAACATGCTCCACGGGGTTTTCAGTGGCTGATTTTTCAGAAGTAGATCTCCAGACCTTTCTTTCAAGGCACCTCTTGGTGGACTCGAACTTCCACCCTTTTGGTTAGCAGCAAAGTGCTCTCACTGTTGGCACCACCCAGGGATTGCCTATGCTGGTTAACGACCCCACATCAACCAGTTCCTGTCAAGTCAGCCCCGACCCATGGTGACCCCGTGTGTCAGAGTAGAACTGTGCTCCACAGGGTTTTCAATGGCTGATTTTTCAGATGCAGATTTCCAGGCCTTTCTTCCAAGGCACCTCTGGATGGACTCGAACCTCCAACCTTCTGGTTAGCAGCCGAGTGTGTTCACCATTTGCACCGCAGGAACTCCTATGAGTTGAGTGGCGTCCCCCAAAAAGACATGTTGAAGTCCTCACCCCTGGAACCTGGGAACATGACCTCATTTGGAAATGCAGTCTTTAAAGATGTAATCGGTTAACACGAGGTCACACTCGAGTAGGGTGGGTCCTAATCCCATCTGAGTGGTGTCCTGATAAAAGAGAAGAGACACAGAGGGGAGACGCCATGTGAGGACAGAGCAGAGATTGGGGTGATGCAGCCACAAGCCCAGGATCGCCTGGAGCCACAGGAGCTGCAAGAGGCGAGAAAGGATCCTCCCCCAGAGCCTTGGGAGGGAACACTGCCCTGCCCACACCTTGAGTTCAGACTTCTGGTCTCCAGAACTGTGAGAGAGTCAGCGTGTGTTGTTTTAAGCCCCCCAGCGTGTGGTCCTTTATTACGGCCATCCCAAGACACCTGCGCACTATGCATTTTGGGATTGCCTGATCGTTAATAAGACCAAGAGCTACAGTGAGCTACAGCTGCTAACCAAAAGGTTGGCAGTTCGAATCCAGCAGCCGCTCCTTGGAAACTCTATGGAGCAGTTCTACTCTGTCCTATAGGGTCGCTATGAGTCTGAATCGACTAGACGGCAATGGGTTTGTTTTGTTTATTTAATTCCGGGGGAATAGAAGCCCTGGCGGCACAGTGGTTAATCGCTCAGCTGCTAACCGGACGGTCAGCGGTTCGAACCCACCAGCTGTTTCACAGGAGAAAATCCTGATGATCTGCTTCTGTAAAGTTTACAGCCTAGGAAACGCTGTGGGGCAGCTCTCTGTTCTGCAGGGTTGCTAGGAGTCGGAATTGACGGCAACAGATTGGATCCCGGAGAACGATTTAAAGGGAGAGGGGATTGGTCCTTCCCCGGGGGTCTTTCATCTCAGAAGGGGCTGTTCAGCCAGGGTAGATGCTGATGGTGTCAGGGTGTGGTAGACACAGAACGTGCTGGCCTGGGGGGAGAGGGCAGCGGCGGGGCGGGGGTTGAGACTGGGCTGGAACTGGGGGGTGATTACAAGAGTAAGGCAAAGGGGGGCAGCTACAGAATGTGGGCAAGGGACGTCAGGTCAGGACTTTGAGCGAAGGGTGCGGGAAATAACAGGTGTTACTGCCAAAAACCCCCACCCGTCTGTCAGTGTGCTGTACTGGGGCACCTTGTGTGTTGCTGCGACGCTGGCCGCTACGCCACCAGTATTTCAAACACCGGCAGGGTCACCCATGGTGGACAGGTTTCAGCAGAGCTTCCAGACTAAGAGAGACTAGGAAGAACATCCTGGCGATCTACTGCTGAAAATCAGCCAGTGAAAACCCTATGGATCCCAACAGGACATTGTCTGTTGATGAGCCCCCAGGTTGGAAGGCGCTCGCAATACACGGCCGCTGCCACAGTGGACTCCAACAGACCAACGATGGTGCAGACGGCACAGGGCCGGGCAGCGTTTCATTCCATTGTGCACGGGAGTCATTGACGACTGACAACAACCACAGGCCCAGAAAGGAAACACGGGGCGGGCTGTTGGATGCCACGTCACGGGGTGAACTGTATCCAGTAAGCCGAGGGCGGCCCCCTTATCCAGGATGCACAAGTCCCTCTGTGTCCCGGGGCCTGGGAGGGGGCTGTCCTATGGGACAGATGAGGAAGACGGCTGGGAACCCTTTGTCACAGCCATTAACACTTGTGGGCTGACTTGACCATGGCAGGAAATCGCCCGAGCCAGTCTGAATGGCAAGCGGTCGTTATAGCAATGCGGAACCTGTGCCAGGAAATGAGACCAGGAAAAGAACACAATAAAAAGAAAGAGTTGTTGCTTCCAGGGAACTCATGCTGCCGGTGTCCATGTTGCCCACCGGGTATCCTTGATCGGATCTCTGGCCATCTGGATCCTCATTGGATGGGATCTTTAGGAGTGGACCCCCGCCAGAAGCTGTAAGAAAGACTGAATGGGGGAACGAGCTTCAGTTTCTCTTTGGGGAGGCTGCCTTCAGACAGCGAAGGGAACAACACCGCTGACTACAGCTGGGATCCTGTCGTCTGGGTGGGGACCCGCAGACCAGCCTGCCTCGCTGCCTCTGAGGCTGGACTTTGCTCCACATTCAAGGTGAGAGTCTGATTTCTGTGGAGGGGTGGGAGCAAAGGCAGGCAGAGGCCACTGTGTCTGTCGTCCTCCCAGCCCTGGGCTGCCTATTACAGGTACTGCCGGCCTCACAGGGCCACGGGATCCGCTGCTGCCACCTGGGGCGTGCTGTCTGCTAGCTGCACACACCCACCGCCTTCTGAGACTTTGTACAAGAAGAAGCACTCCACGTAGCCCATCAATCGCCTTTGTATTGATTATGTGTCGGCATGGTAACATTTTAAATGTGCGGGGTTAGGTAGAAGGTGGCGTGAATGGTTTGCACTCGACTGCTAACCTAAAGGTTGGCGGCGCAAACTCGCCCGGCAGTGCAGTAGAAGAAAGGCCTGGCAATCTGCTTCCATAAAGATGACAGCCGAGAAAACCCTATGGAGCACAGTTCTCCTCTGGCACACACAGGGATGCCATGAGTCAGAGTCGACTTGACGGCAACTGGTAGTTTTAATGTGGAGTCCCCTGCGTGGTGCAAATGGTTCATGTACTTGGCTGCCGACCAAAAGGTTGGAGGTTGGAGTCCACCCAGAGGTGCCTCAAAAGGAAGGCCTGGGGATCTACTTCCAAAAAATCAGCGATTGGAAACCCTATGGAGCACAGTTCTCCTCTGACACACGTGGGGTCACCATGAGTTGGGGTCGACTCACGACAACTGGCTTTTTAATACGGACAATGGGATGTTATTCAGTCATAAGAAGCAGTGAAGTCCTGACACCAGTTACAACGTGGGGGAGCCTTGACAGCATGATGCGCAGTGAAAGCAAACAGACTCCATTGATATGAAACCTCCAGAACAGGCAAGTCCACAGACACAGCAAGTAAATCCGTGGTTGTCGGGGGCAGCGGGAGGGACTGCTAACAGGTACGGGCCTTCCTTTAGGGGCGATGAGAAACAACGCTGACAAGTAGATAACGGTGGTGGTTATACGACCTGACAATGTGCTAAATGCCGCCGGATGCAATACGTTCCAATGCAGGGAGTCCTCGACCTTCCCCGGCGTTCTGCTCCGAAGACTCCATCGGAAAGCTTTTCTGATGTTACGTCAAGTACTTCTTTTTTTTTGGTTTTCATTATTATTGTCATAGCCTGCTCTACGGCAGCGTTTGGAGCAGTAAACGCTGAACATGGGCCGACGAGCGTCTGAGACGGAGAACATCAGCCGATTACGGGCTGCACCATTGTACGCAGTGCCGATCACGAAGGTTAAGATGGACCCAGACCAAACAAACACAGGGCCGTAAGCGGGGTTCGTCGTAAATCGGGGACTACCTAGTAGTAAAAATGGAGACTTTTATGCTATGTGCATTCCACCTCAATAAACCAGGTGCTGGGGAGGTTGACCCCAACTCGTGGTGACCGCACGCAAGTCGGAGTAGAATCGCGCTCCTGGTTTCCCCCACCCCCCAGATTCCCATTCTGTGGGTCCAGCGGGGACACAGCCTCTCCAGGCAATGACGCTGACGGTGAGGCTGAGGGTCACAACCGGGGCAGCGCGGCCGTAGGTGACGGCCAGTCTGCCCTGGGCTGGTCAACACCGACCCCAGTCTGACAGCCCCGGTCCAGCGCCTGTGGTGCCCCTTTTCATCCTGTGAGCTGACTGAATGCACCGTGACTCAGCTTGTGGAATGTCCCTTCCAGCCTGTGGGGCGCTGTCCCAGGGCGCGGAACACCTCCCTGTTCGACCACAGCCTCCCTACGCTGGTCCAGGGCTGCAAAGGGGCCTGAGCCTCACCCCTCTCGGCTCCCCTCCATGTCCTCCACTGCCATCCTACCCTACCCCTGCAATGATGATGCTGCTCAGGTGACCTGGTTCGTTAGAGGATGCTAGCTTCTTCCTGCAAGGACAGACACGTGACTGTGTAATCCTGGCTGTGCTTGAAGGACCCGTGTATGTGGGCGCCTGGCACACGCAGTGAGTCCCTAGGTGGCGCAGAGGGTGAATACTCTGCTGTGGCGTCCGGGGGCTGGAGCCCCCGCAGGAGGACCCCACACTGTTGATACGCTGCATGGAGCCTCAGGGGTCCCCAGGGTGATCACGGGGTGGGAGAACTAGGGAGACCGGGGCTGCACCCCAAGGGTGCAGATAGCCGACCACTGAGTGAGAGGCCAGGAGAGCGGCTGCTGAGGGCCCCGTGGCAACCAGGGACGCTCCTGGCGGGCGAGAATTCCCGCACGACCTCCGTCCAGGAAACGCAGTCTGGCGAATTTCGTGCTTTTCATGAAACTTCCTTCCACCACGTTCTCATCTGCGTGTTTCCTGGCGGTGCTAATGCCTTCTGGTGTCTAGGTCAGGATCCAGCCAAGAACGCACCGCGCTCCCGGGGTGGGGGTTCTTCTACAACAGTGCACACACGTACCACACGTACCACACACAGACACACACGCAGACACAGATATGCACATACTGCACACAGACACACGTAGACATAGACACGCACACAGACACACAGACACACAGACATAGACACACATAGACCTAAACATACACACATACACATAGACATAGACACACACACAGACACAGACACACACACAGACACAGACACACAGACACATAGACATAGACACACACACAGACACAGACACACACACAGACACAGACACACAGACACATAGACATAGACACACACACAGACACACATAGCATAGACACACACACAGACACGCAGACACACAGACATAGACACACATAGACATAAACAGACACACATACATAGACAGACACACACACAGACACAGACACACAGACACACATAGACATAAACATACACAGACACACAGACACACAGACATGATGCACACAGACACTGACACACAGACACACAAACATACAGACACACACGCAGACACAGACACACGTAGACACAGAGACACACATACAGAGACACAAACACACACTATACACAGACATACACACACACCACACACACATAAACATGCATTGTACACAACACGTACACACAGACACCCATAGACAGACAAAGACACACATATACCACACACACGTACACACACCACTCACACCACAGACACAGACACGACACACGTACACACACCATACACAGACCAGCCCGTTGCCTATTGCCCTTCAGTCGATTCCAACTCACAGTGACCAAAAAAAAAAGAAAAACTGTTTCTGTTGATTCCAACTCATAGCGACCCTACAGGACAGAGCAGAACTGCCCCACAGGGTTTCCAAGGAACAGCTGGTGGATTCCCACGGCTGACTTTTTGGTTAGCAGCCGAGCTCTTCACCACTGTGCGTCCAGGGCTCCATACACAGACCGGACACATAAATACAGACACACATGCACACACACACACTCATGCACACATATGCAAACATCTGCATACACACACACACACACACACACACACACACACACACACGAGAGGAGCTTTCCCTGGAAGGACCTCCGTGCACTTTGCCTGCATTCGTAATGAGACTGGTGTCCTCCCAGCCTCCATCCTGCCCACCCCAGCAGCCCTGCTCTCTTCTCTTTCAGCCCATTTCCCTGCGGGAGCGGAACCCACCATGTCCGTTATCTGGCTTTCAGTGTTTCTGATGCCGGTCAGCTGCCTGCTGGAAAGGGACCCCGGTAGGTACCACACGGAAACCCACACGACGTCTGTAGTCTGTTGGGTGTTTTGTGCTGCAGTCATGGTTGTCCCACATGCACATATAAGAAACACACAGAGACATCTGTGCAACCTGCCCCGGCTTTCCCCAAAGGTTAACATCGTGCAAGACACGGGGTGATGAGCATGCTCCAGAACTCTATAGGGGTGATGGTTGCACAGCATTGTGAATGTACTAAATGACGCTGAATTGTCTACTTTAAAATGGTTAAAGTGATCAATTCTGCATAAAACAAAACAGACCATAGTACAATATTACAAGTGGGAGATTGGTATTGATACAGACACAAAATTGGTGTGTTTTGATATAGGTCAGATGCTAGGATCATCGGCTGTCTTCACTCAGCATGACTGGGTCTTTTTCTCTGTTGTCTCATGAGGCTGTTAATTAAGGTGTAGGCAGGGGCTGGGGTCTCTGGACCTCAGGATCTTCTTCCAGGCTCATTCAGGTTATCGGCAGAATTCAGTTCATTTCAATTGTAGGACTGAGGTTCCTGTTTTCTTTCTCGCTGCCAGCAGGGGGCGCTCTCAGCTCCTAGAGGCACCCTCAGGCCCTTGCCATGGGGCCCCCGCACGACATGGCAGTTCGCCTCTCCAAAGCCAGCAGGAGAAACTTTCCCTGCTACTTCAAGTCACCTGATTAGATCAGGCCCACCCAGGGAGATTTCCTTTTGGATTAGCGCAAAGTCAAAGTATTTGGGCCATTAATTTCATCTGCAAAGTCCCGTCATGGCATAAATTGTACCGCGCCAGACACAGATGACAAAAACTCACCACCTTGTCCCAGTTTGGGCTTCCTGGCCACCCAAAATGGGGGCCGCTGGTTCTGCCTGCTGGGGGGGTAGCCAGTGCCCATTGTCGTCCATGTTATTGTTGCCCTTGTCGTGGTGGCTTTGAGTCACGTCCCGACTCCTGACACCCTCACGCGCAACAGAACGAAATACTGCTGGGCCCTGAGCCATCTTCATCATCAATTATGAATTCGGCTGCTGTGATCCATAAGGTTTCCAGCGGCTGATTGTTGGAAGTAGATGGCCAGCCCTTTCTTCCTAGTCCGTCTTAGTCTGGAAGCTCCGCTGACACCTGTTCAGCATCACAGCAACACGCAAGCCTCCACAGACAGACGGGTGGTGGCTGCACATGAGGTGCATCGGCCGGGAATTGAACCTGGGTCTCCCACGGGGAAGGCGAGAATTCTGAGCCACCACTGCCTTTTTGTCCTCTGCAGACATTTCGGGAGCATTTTAACTTCCTGAGGGCTGAACTACTGTAGCTCTGAAGTCTGCAGAATTGCGAAATCTAAAGATGGTCTTACTTGTTGGGCAATAGTGGCTTATGGGTCAGATGTGGGGTTTGCTTCAAAACACCCTTCCAACCCTAGTAGCTGGCACCTGTTTGGTTCTCAAATAAGACTAAAGTCTGGTACAGTTGTGGCCCTGGGATGCAGGTTGGGTCCTTTACAGGTGTCTTAGTTAGCTAGTGCTGCTTTAACAAACAGAGATTTATTCTCTCACACTCCAGGAGGCTAGAAGTCTGCATTCAGGGCGCCAGCTCTAGGGGAAGGCTCTCTCTCTGTCGGCTCTGGGGGAAGGTCCTTGTCTCAGCTTCTCTAGCCATCCATCCTTGGAGTTCCTGGGCTTGAAGACAGCCCTGACTCCTTAGTCTTCAGAGGGTGTGGGTCTTCCCCCCATGTCTGCTCGCTTCTGTACCTGTTGTTGTGATTGTTGGCAGGTGCTGTTGAGTTGGTTCCAACTCATAGTGACCCCGAGTGCAACAGAATGAAACCCTCCAGGTCCTGTGCCATCCCACCAATCATTGTTATGTTTGAGCCCATTGTTGCAGCCACTGTGTCAATCCATCTCATTGAGGGTCGTCCTCTTTTTCACTGACCCTCTACTTTACCAAGCATGATGTCCTTCTCCAAGAACTGGTCCCTCCTGATAACGTCCAAAGTACGTGAGACGAAATCTCACCATCCTCACTTCTAAGGAGCGTTCTGGTTGTACTTCTTCCAAGGCAGATTTGTTCCTTCTTCTGGCAGTCCATGATATAGTCAATATTCTTTGCCAGCACCATAATTTAAAGGCATCAATTCTTCTGTGGTCTTTCTTATTCATTGTCCAGCTTTCTCATGCATGTGATGTATAAGACCTCAGCTGCTAACCAAAAGTTCGGCAGTTGAAATCCACCAGCTGCTCCCTGGAAACCCAACGGGGCAGTTCTACTCTGTCCTATAGGGTTGCTATTAGTTGGAATCGACTCACCCGCAAACTTCTTTTTCTTTTTTTATACTTATTACTGTCCCTGGCTGGTGCAAACAGTGAACATGCTTAGATACTCACCAAAAGGTTGAAGGTTCAAGTCCACCCAGAGGCACCTTGGAAGGAAGGCCTGGTGATCTACTTCTGAAAACTCAGCCATTGAACGCCCTGTGGAGCAGAGTTCTACGCTGACATACACAGGGCTGCCATGAGTCGAGTCGACTCCATGGCAGCGGGTTATCAGGGAACTCAGTAGGAGAAAGGAGTTCCCGTCAAAATGCTGTCTCAAAACTGCTGTACATCTATCTCTCCTTCACTCACCTGTCCACATTCCAGATCCAAATGCGCCAATTAGCAACATCAGGGTGGATCCGAGACGGGGAAGAGTGTCCTGGGACCTCAACGGAAGCGTCGCTGAAATTACGTGCTCCATAGGCTCAGTTTATACCAGCAAGGTAAAGCACAGTCCTTACTAAGCATGCTACATATTTCCGACTTCTTTAGTGACTTGAGTCAATCTTGGTCCCCCAGCACTTGTAGGACACAAATACCACAAGTGAGCAGCTTAAACGCACAGAAATTTATTCTCTCACGGTTCAGGGGGCTAGAAGTCCGCATTCAGGGTGCCGGCTCTAGGGGAAGGCTCTCTCTCTGTCGGCTCTGGGGGAAGGTCCTTTTCTCAGCTTCTCCATCCATCCATCCTTGGAGTTCCTGGGCTTGTAGACAGCTCTGCCTTCCTCGTCTTCAGATGGTGTGGGTCTTCCCCCCGTGACTTCTTTCTTTTGTGTCTAATCTGCTTTGTTCATATCTCAAAAGGGAGTAGGTACTGGTATTTCAAATACCAGCAGGGTCACCCACGGTGGACAGGTTTCAGTGGAGCTTCTGGACTAAGACAGACTAGGAAGAAATGCCTGGAGATCTGACTCATTGTTGTCGAGTGGATTCAACTCATAGCAACCCTGTAGGACAGAGTAGAACTGCCCCATAGGGTTTCCAAGGCTGTAAATCTTTACAGAAGCAGACTGCCTCATCTTTGTCCGAAGGAGTGGCTGGTGGGTTCAAACCACAAACCTTTCAGGTAGCAGCTGAGCGCTTAACCACTGTGCCTCCAGGGCTCCTTCATGGCGATCTACTTCTAAAAATTGTTGTTGTTGTTAGGTGTGGTTGAGTCAGTTCTGACTCATAGCGACCCTATGTACAACAGAAAGAAACACTGCCCAGTCCTGCACCATCCTCACAATCGTTATGCTTGAGCCCATTGTGGCAGCCAATGTGGCAATCCATCTCGTTGACTGAAAACCTGTGGACCACAACAGAACATGGTCTGATATAGTGCTGGAAGATGAGCCCCCCGGGCTGGGGGCTCCCCCTTTGAGTTGTGCCTTACAAGAGGGGAGAACAGAGAGTCACACGGAGGGAAGACAGACGCTGTGTGAAGACGTATCTACAAGCTGGAAACACCCAGGGTTGTCGGAGACAAGGAAGAATCTTCCCCTGGAGCAGACAGAGAGGGCATGTTCCTGACAGTGCCCTGGCTTCAGACTGCTAGCCTCCAGAACCACAAGACAATAACTCCCAGTTTTTAAAAGCAACTCACTTTGTGGTATCTTGTTATGACAGCCTGTCTTAGGCTGGGTTCTCTAGAGAAGCAAAACCAGTAAAGTGTATAAATATATATAACCCACTGCTGTCGAGTCAATTCCGACTCATATATAGAAAGAGATTTACATCAAGGATATGGCTCATGTGGTTGTACAGGCTAGAATATGAGTCAAGCTGAAAGTTTCTCCTGATTCACGTAGCCGCAGGGGCTGGAGAACCCAAGATCAGCAGGTCAGACAGCAGGGCTCTTGCTCACAGGCTGCGAAGAACAACGAGTCCAAGACCGGCAGGTGAGATCACAGGTAAGCTGCCAGCTCAAGTCCCAAGAACAAGAGGTCAGACAAACAGGAGCCAGCTGCAGGATCCAGAGTGAGCAAAAGCCCCTGAGCCTTGCCAGAAAGTCCACTTATATTCGATGCAGGCCACACCCCCAAGGAAACTCCCTTTCAAGTGATTGGCTGCTCACAGCAGTTCCCATCATGGAGGTGATCACATTGTATCAGCTCTCATCATGGAAGTGATTACATCATCATATGACTGCCAAACTACATCATAACTGCCAAACCAGTGACAATCATGGCCCAGCCAAGGTAACACATACCTTAACCATCACACAGCCCTAGCCGGCTAAGACGTCCCAAGAAAGGGTTGGTGTGAGAATAGGTTGAAATATCATAGGTAGAGAACCCAGCCTGAACCACAGTGAGAAAACAGCACCCCCGACCCGCCACCCCCAACCCCATGCTATCTCATCTCCCATTGCAATTTCTCTTATTGCTTTAAGAAAATTATCATCTCTCTGTACTTAGTCGTGGAGCCCTGGTGGCACAGTGGTTAAGAGCTCGGCTACTAACCAAAAGGTCAGCAGTTGGAATCCACCAGCTGCTCCTTGGACACCTTATGGGGCAGTTCTACTCTGTCCTGTAGGGTCGCGAGGAGTTGGAATCAACTGACGGCAATGAGTTTGGTGTCTGGTTATACTCATTCTTAAAACAGTTATTTTCATACAAACATTTCTATTTTTTTTTTTTTAATCTAAACATTGTTCATATCAGACTCAGTAGGTCCTCTAAACAATTGCCAAATCATTATGTCTTTCTTAGGCAAACAACAACACCTACTGCCAGTTTTATGCATTTTCTCTGTGCAAAACGACCAACTATACCATAAGAGTGACAAGTGGCCCGCCCTTCTCCACTCTGCTTCAGTATCCTAAGCCAGGTGAGGAAAAATGTGATTTTGGTTTGTTTGTTTGTAACTCAGTCTTCTGAATGCTAGCGTGATTGCAAACAAACAAAAAATAAAAATGAATCAAACCTGTTGCCATCAAGTCCATTCCGACTCATGGCTACCGTGTGTGTCCAGAGTAGAACTGAGCTCCATCGGGTTTCCTTGGCTGTAATCTTTATGGGAGGAGCCCTAGCGGCACAGTGGTTAAGAGCTTCATTGCTCACTGAAAGGTCAGTGGTTTGAACCCACCAGCCACTCCTCGGGAGAAAGATGTGGCAGTCTGCTTCCTTGGAAACCCTAAGGGAGAGTTCTACCCTGTCGGATAAGTCACTAGGAGTTGAATCACCTCGACAGCAATGGGTTTGTTTTGGGTTTCTTTTGGTTAATCTTTACTGAATCACATTGCTAGGTTTTTCTTCTGTGGAGCCACTGGGTGGGTTTGAACCGCCAACTTTCAGTTAGCAGCCGAGCACTTAGGTAAGCATTTGCACCCCCCAGGAATCTGTTCAAGGGTGTTAGGCAGAGTTAAAAGAAAAAAAAAAATTCCAGAAAGTTACATACAGTATTATGTTTATATGACATTCTTTTTTGTTGTTGTTGTAAAAATATAGGTAACAGAACATCTGCCAATTCAACATTTTTCCCTTACGCACTTCAGGGAAACCAATTACATCAATGGTGTGCAACCATCACCAACATCCATTGTCATCTTTTCCACCCCCATGAATGGTAACTCAGTGCTAGCTAAACCTAGATTTCCTCTTTCCTCTTCCCTCCCGCCTCTGGAGACCACAGGTAAACTCTGATCTCTATACATTTGCCTAACTCCAAGAGTTTCCTTTTAGTGGGATCATACATTATTTGTATACGACATTCTTGAAATGACAAAATTATAGAAATGGAGTGTAAAAACGGCACGGGGACGGTGTCTGACCTCCTCTGACCTCAAAAAGGGGAAGGAGAATCAAGATCAACAGCCCAAGGCTGATTCCTAGGAGGCAGAGGTCAGACATTCGTCCTCTCTCTGCCATCTTTACCAACTCTGACACCAGCCGTCCCTCCCGCGGCACTCTCTACTTCTCTGCTGGGTTCAGTAGTTCATTGCAATGGCCACACAGAACTCACAGTTAATACTTACGATTATGGGGTTTATTAGGGAAGCAACGGGTTACAATTCAGGCTCAGGAACACTCAGGATACAGTTCTTCCATCAGGACAGCCTCTTCCCAGCCATACTCACAGGCACACCTCTCACTGGCCCTTCGGCCTCTACCCTGCTCGGGCAAGTGTTACAAAGCTCTTTTAGCCCCTGCCAGTAAGTCGCCAGAGGCGCCCAAGGCACTCAGCTGTCTCACTCCGTGGGCCAGGAAGTCCACTTCACGGTCTCCTGCCAGTGTTTCCTGCCACCACTTCTCACCTATCTTCAGGGTTACAGCTCTCTTTCTCTCTCTCTCTCTCTCTCTGTCTCCTGGTTCCAGGAGCTTCTCAGCGCCGGGATCCCGGGTACAAAGGATGTGCTCTCCGCTCCTGGTTCTTCTTCCTTGGTGGTGGTGGGATCCTCTCCCTCTCCTGCTTCTGGGGTCGCTCATTTCGAGCCCAGCGGGATGGCAAAACTGACCAATCCTTTTGGTGGGCCACAATTACCCTATCACACAGTCCCACCCAGTCACCCAGGTGGAAGTTACAAGACCATGGCTAGAAAGGCCACACAAAAGTGACGCGGAACACCACAAAGAGAACAGATTAGCAGTTGCCAAGGGTTAAGGCAGAGGTGGGGGCAGGGAGGAGTGGAGGTGGATATAGGAAGGCAATAGCAGGGGTCCTGGTGGGGATGGAAAGTTCTGTAGCTTTGCAAGATGTCACCATTTGGGGACACTGGGTGAAGGGTATGCAGATTGTTTTATTTGTATTGTTTCTTTGTTTTTTGTCTCTTAGGGTTTTGTGTGTGTGTGTCTGTGTGTATGTGAGTTACGTGAAAGTTTACAGAGCAAATTCATTTCCCATTTGATAGTTTGTAGATAAAGTGTTCCATGACATCGGTTTCTAGTTTTTATTTTTTCTTATTGTTTGTTGTTGTTGTTTTTTAATTGTAGTTCAGATGAAGGTTTACAGAGCAAATTAGTTTCTCATTACACAATTAACACACGTACTGTTTTGCGATACTGGTTACCAACCCCACGATTTGTCAACACTGTCCCCTCTCGACCTTGGGTTCCCTATTACCAGCTTTCCTGTCCCCTCCTGCCTTCTAGTCCTTGTCCCTGGACTGTTGTGCCCCATTAGTCTCGTTTTGTTTTATGGGGCTGTCTAATCTTTGGCTGAAGGGTGAACCTCGGGAGTGACTTCATTACTGAGCTAAAAAGGTGTCGGGCGGCCATGCTCTCAGGGTTTCTCCAGTCTCTGTCAAGCCAGTTAAGTCTGGTCTTTTTTTGTGAGTTAGAATTTTGTTCTGCATTTTTCTCCAGCTCTGTCCACAAACCTCTACTGTGATCCCTGTCAGAGCAGTCAGTGGTGGTAGCCGGGCACCATTTGGCTGTACTGGACTCAGACTGGTGGAGGCCATGGTAGTTGTGATCACTGTTTCTTTTTTAACTGTGGTAAAGATATATACAACGGAACATTCTCCACTTCGACAATTTCTACAGGCACAATTCAATGACGTTGATTACACTCTTCATGTTGTGCAACCAACTCCTACCTCTATCTTTTTCCAAATCATTCCATCACCGTTAACAGAAACTCTATCACCCACGCAAAAACTTCCCTTTTCCCCCCTCCCTCCCCTAGCATCATAGATTGAATTGTGTCCCCCAAAAATGTCTGTCAACTTGGCTAGGTCATGATTCCCAGTATCCTATGATTGTCTACCATTTTGTCCTCTGATGTGATTTCCCTGTGTGTTGTAAATTCTGTCACTATGATGTAATGAGATGGATTAGTGGCAGTTATATTGATGGGGTCTAAAAGATTAGATAGTGTCTTAAGGCAATCTCTTTTGAAATATAAAAGAGAGAGGCAAGCAGAGACACATGGGAACCTCATACCACCAAGAAAGCAGTACTGGGAGCACAGCATGTCTTTGGATCTGAGGTTCCTGCGCTGAGAAGCTTCCAGACCAAGGGAAGACTGATGGCAGGGAACTTCCTCCAGAGCCGACAGAGAAAGCCTTCCCCTGGAGTTGAATTTGGACTTGTAGCCTACTAGACTGGGAGAAAATAAATTTCTCTTTGTTACAGCCCTCTACTTGTGATAGTTCTGGTAGAGCAGCAGTCATCCAGCACCTAGTAAGTACTAATAATCGCTGACTTCTGTATATTTGCTTATTTCCCATAAGTGAAGTCAGCCAGTATTTGTCCTTTTGTGTCTGATTTATTTAGCTCAGCATGTGATGGCATCCATCCGGATTTCATCTCTCTCTTTGGCTGAGTAATGCTCCATCGTATGGATGGACCAACCAAAAACACAAAGCAAACCCATGGTGGTCAAGTTGATTCTGACTCCTAGAAATCCTCTTGTTTACTCATTCCTCAGCTGATGGACAGCTGGATTGTTTCCACCTTCTGGCTAGGGCGAGTCGTGCTGCCGTAAACACTGATATACCAATATTTGTCTGAACATCTGCTTTAGTTTTCAAGTACACACCCAGGAGTGGAGTTGCTGGGTTAACTCTATGTTTAACTATTTTAGGAATCTGCCGATTGTTCACTTGTTACACAAGGTTTCCATGCGGCGCAGCTGACTTAACAGCATCTAACGACAACAACAACAGTATTCCATTGCGTGGACGGGCTACATTTTGTTGATCCATTCTGTCCCGTGATGGACCTTATGGTTGTTTCCACCTTTCGCCTGTGGTGAACAGTGCTGCCACGAACATTGGTGTACAAGTACCTGTATCATTTCTCACAGCTGCATGTGAACCCGCAATGATCTCAGAAGGTTATGATGCTTTAAAACACAGGGAGTTTTTGATGGTTTAGCATTTGTATGTTCGCCACAATTTCTTTTTGTAAAATAGCTAGTTTTTCTTTTCTTTTAAGGAGCCCTGGTGGAGCAACGGAGCCCTGGTGGCGCCGTGGTGGAGAGCTCAGCTGCTAACCTAGAGGTCAGCAGTTTGAATCCACCAGCCGCTCCTTGGAAACCCTATGGGGCTGTTCTGCTCTGTCCTATAGAGTCGCTATGAGTTGGAATCAACTCAATAGCAATGGGTTCCGCATGGGCAATGGTGAAGTGCTCAGCTGTTCACCAAAAGGTTGGTGGTTCGAAACCACACAGAGGTGCCACTGGAGAAAAGATCTGTCGATCTGCTCCCGTAAAGATTACAGCCTAGGAAATCGTACGGAGCAGTTCTACTCTGTCCTGTAGGGTCACTATGCGTCGGAGTCAACTCAATAGCAATGAGTTTGGCATAGGCAAAGGTTTATGCTCGAATGCTAACCAAAAGTTCAGTGGTTCAAACCCACCCAGACGCTCCTCAGCAGGAATATGTGGCATCTGTTTCCGTAAAGATTTAGAGCCTAGGAAACCCTATGGAACAGTTCTAGTCTAACACATGGGGTCACTATGAGTCGGAATCGACTCAACGGCACCCAACAACATCAACAGCTGTTTTTCTTTTATCTTCTTTGCAAGCCCAGATGGGAAGCCGGGGGCAGCTGCGGAAAATCTGACCTGCTGGATCCATGATGTGGACTTTCTGGAATGCAGCTGGGCTGTGGGCAGAGCGGCCCCCTGGGACGTCCAGTATCACCTGTACCTTATCCAACCCGAGTAGGTGTGACCTCAAGCAGGGCTTCACTGTCGGGGGCGGGGAGGCCTGGGGTTGCTCACGGACGCCCTCTGTCTGCAGTACCTATGAAGAATGGGAATGCGTGCATTATACCACGGATACGCAGGGAAGACGCACTGGCTGTTGTTTTGACGACATCTCTGGACTGAAAAATCATCACTACCACTTCCTGGTGAATGGAACTAGCGAGGCCTCCAGAATCCCGTGCACCGAGATCTTTGCCACTTTATCAGAGATTGGTGAGTAAAGACCCCCGCGGAGAACGCGGATGATGTGGGTGCTGCTGTGCTTGTATGGAGCCCTGGGGGCGCAGGAATTAAGCACTCGGCTGTGAACCGAAAGATCAGCGGTTTTAACCCACCAGCTGCTCCGTGGGAGAAGGATGTGGCAGTCTGCTTCTGTAAAGATTTGCAGCCTTGGAAACCCTATGGGGCAGTTCTACTCTGTCCTATAGGGTCGCTATGAGTCGGAATCGACTCGATGGAAGTGGGTTCGGTTTTGGGGGTTTTGTGTGCTTGTTGGAGTCCCTGGGTGGTGCAAATGGTGAACCCCCTTGGCTGCTAAATGAAAGGTACCTCAGAAGAAATACCTGGCAACCTGCTTTCAAAAACTCAGCCACTGAAAACTCCATGGAACACAGTTCTACTCTGATGCACATGGGGTTGCCGTGAACTGGAGTCGATTCTGTAGCAACTGGTCGGTTACTGATGTGTTACTATGACTCAAGGAAATGAGCCGCTTGCTGTTGGGGTGTTTTATAACACCCATGACAAACAAGGGCTCAGTAGCCACACTCGGGGGTGGATTCATCATGTGGCTGAGGGGCTGAAGCTTCACACAGCCCCTTTCAAAGGCCTGTGTTCACATGGTCATGGGTTATTATAACACAGACCCATCTTGGTAAATCGAAAATAGTTCTCCATTCTTTTCCTTTTAAAGCAGGCCAAAACCACAAACCAACTCTTTGCAATCAAGTTGATTCCGATTCACCGCGACCCTATAGGACAGAGTTGAACTGCTCCGTAGGGCTTCCAAGGAGCGCCTGGTGGGTTTGAACTGCCGATCTTTTGGTTAGCAGCTGTCTTAGTCATCTAGTGCTGCTCTAACAGAAATACCACAAGTCGATGGCTTTAACAAAGAGAAGTTTATTCTCTCACAGTCCATTAGGTTACGAGTCCAAATTCGGGGCTTCAGCCCCAGGAGAAGGCCCTCTCTCTCTGTCGGCTCTGGAGGAAGGTCCTCGTGATGCAGCAGTCTTCCCTTGGTCTGGGAACATCTCAGTGCAGGAACCTCAGGTCCAAAGGACACGCTCTGCTCGCAGCACTGCTTTCTTGGTGGTGTGAGGTTCCCATGTCTCTCTGCTCACTTCTGTCTTTTATATCTCAAAAGAGATTGGCTTAAAACACTACCCAGTCTTGAAGATGTCATCCGTATAACCTCATCACAGTGATAAGAGTTTATAACACATAAGGAAATCACACCAGATTACAAAACAGTACACAATCGTACAATACTGGGAATCATGACCTAGCCAAGTTGACAGATATTTTTAGGGGACACAATTCAATCCATGACAGCAGCCTAGCTCTTAACCACTGCACCACCAGGGCTCCAAACAATTACAGCCTAGGAAACCCTATGGAGCAGTTCTGCTCTGTCCTATAATGTCGCTATGAGTCAGAATCAACTTGACGGCACCAGGTTTGGTTTTTGGCTCACTCATAAAGGTGTTTTTTTTCTTCCCCCTCCCCCAGAGATACTGGCTCCACCCAGCATCAGTGGGACGTGCAATAAGTCATACTCCCTTATGGAGTGGAAAATGTCGAGCCACTTCAGTTCCGACTTTGTCTATGAGCTTCAGATATACAAGGTAAAAGCCTGCCACAGCTGACTCCCCGTGTCCTCGGCAACCTGTCCTCTGTGGCTTTGTCATGGGCAAAGTCGTATTCAATCATACACAAAAAGCATAAACCATTAAAAAAAATTGATAAACTGGGTTTTAGGGGGAAAAAAAGTCTGCTCTTTGAAAGATATAGTTAAGAAATTAAAAAGGCAGGCCACAGAATGGGAAGACAGACTTGCAATTCAAATGAGTTACATTCAGAATATATAGAACCAAATGCCCACTGCCATCAAGTCGATTCCAACTCCTAGGGATCCTAGAGGACAGAGTAGAACTGCCCCCATAGGGTTTCCAAGGCAATAAATCTGTACAGAAGCAGGCTGCCACATCTTTCTCCCATGGAGGGGCTGGTGGGTTCAAACCGCTGGCCTTTTGGTTAGCAGTCGAACGCTTTAAGCACTGCACCACCAGAGCTCCTTTAAGGAACCCTTAAAACTCAATACGAAGCTACCCTGAGACCAGAAGAACTAGATGGTGCCCAGCTACCACTACTGACCATTCTGATCAGGGCCACAATAGGTGGACCCTGACAGAATGGGAGAAAAATGTGGACCAGAACTCAAATTCTTGAAAACTCCACACCTAGTAGAAATTTTTGTAATGGTTTATCTTTGGCTGTGTGTATTTTCACCAAAAAAAAAACGAGGTTGAGAAGATAGAGGGTTGATATGTCGTGGGGTTGTTAACCAATGTTATAAAACAACATGTACTTCTGTTTCATGAGAAACTATTTGTTCTGTAAGCCTTCACCTGAAGTACAATTAAAAAAAAAAAAAAAGTCAATAAAATTAACAAACCTCTTAAAAAAAAAAAAAAAAAACAAAAACTCCAGACTTAGAGGACTGGTTGAGACTGGAGGATTCCCTGAGACTATCACCCTAAGATAGTCTTGAACCGAAACTACCCCCCTGAGGTCACCTTTTAGCTAAAGATGAGAAGATAAGGGGGCAGGGAAACTAGAGTACTGGAAACAGAACAACCAGAAGGGAATTAAAAAGAATGTTGACACATTGTGAAAAATGTAACTAAAGACACTGAACAATTTGTACAGTAATTGTTACATGGGAACCTAATTTGCTGTGTAAACTTTCACCAAAAACACAATAAAGTATTTTTTTTAAAAAACCTCAATACAGTAACTCCTGTCCAAAAGCAAGACGAGAAGGCAGGAAGGGACAGGAATTGGACAAATGGACACAGGGAACCCTGGGTGGAAAGGAGGAGTGTGCTGTCACATTGCGGGGATTGTAACCAATGTCATAAAACAATATGTGTATACATTTTTGAATGAGAAATTAACTTGAGCTGTAAACTTTCACGTAAAGTATAATAAAATGGAAAAAAAAAAAAACAACCCTCAATACTAAGAAGACAAACAGGCCTGTAAGCCTGACATGGAGTGGACTTTCTCAGAGGAGGGCCTGGGCACTCACCCACTTCTTTGCTCTTGTCTTTCAGGGTGCAGATCCCACCCACCTAGACACGGTGAGTGTTCCCCTACTGTTGTGAGTTGTGTCCCGCAATAGCTGTGTTGAAGTCCCAACCCCAGTCCCTGTGAACGGGGCCTTGTTTGGTAACAGGGTCTTTGCAGATGTCATCAGTTAAGTGAACACGAAGTCATACCGGACTAGGGTCCTGATGCCATCTCAGTGGTGTTCTATAAAAGAGGAGAAGAGACACAGAGGGGGAGACGGAGCAGAGACTGCAGTGACGCGGCCACAAGCCAAGGAATGCCTGGGGCCACCAGGAGCTGGAAGAGACGAAGGATCCTCCCCTAGAGCCTCCAGAGGGAGCGCGGCTCTGCCCACACCTTGATTTCAGAATTCTGTCCCCCAGAACTGTGAGAGAATAAATTGTTGTGGTATTAACTCCCCCAGTCATTGATACTTTGTTATGGCCACCCTATTTGAATGGTGTTTTTATAAAACAAGAGACACAGAGAGGCAGAGGGAAGACAACCACGTCGAGACAGAGGCCGAGATTGGAGTGATGCGACCACAGGCCAAGGAACGCCAGCTGTCACAAGAAGCTGGGAGATGGGCAGGGAACAGATTCTCCCTCAGAGCCTCAGAGGAGTTGACATGGCTGACACCCTGGTCTCAGACTCCCAGCCTCCAGAACTGAGGGAGAATACATTTTTGTTCTTATAAGTCATTTTGATGACTAAGGTGTGCCTGATCCAAGCCATGGTGTTTTCAATCGCCTCATATGCGTGTGAAAGCTGGACAATGAATAAGGAAGACTGAAGAAGAATTGATAGCTTTGAATTATGGTGTTGGTGAAGAATATTGAATATACCATGGACTGCCAGAAGAATGAACTAATCTCCCCTGCAGGAAGTACAGCTAGAAGCGAGGATGGAAAGACTCCGTCTTGCTTACTTTGGATGTGTCATCAGTAAAGACCAATCACTAGAAAAGGACATGTTGTTTGGTAAAGTGGAGGGTGAGCGAAAATGAGGGAAAAGTTCCATGAGCTGGATTGACAGTGTCATCAACAGTGGACTCCAATGTCCCAATCATATGAAGATGGAGCGAGACTGGGGAAGATTTTGTCCTGTTAGGTCGCCATGAGTCAGAGCCGACTGGAAGACAACTAAACAACATAAGTGACTGAGTTGGGGGTCCTTGGAGAGCCCTAGGACACTCATTCACCCCCCTCCCGGGGTAGCACACACCCAGACTCGTCAGCACATTCTACTTACTGCTCTTCCTCTTTAGTGATTTCCGTGAGCCAAGCTCCTTGTGTGAGTATCACTCAGCCTTATGCAATCTTGCGGAGTTGGTGTTCTTATCCCCATATTTGGAGAAGAGGAAACGGGGACTCAGATGACACCTCCAAGTCGATAGGGCTGGGGTGCTATTGCTTGTCTGGCACTACTTGGAGAGTGATGATGCATTTGCCCACAGATGACATCGACCAGACATTCCCAGCAGGCTTGGGGCTGCGGCAGGCACCTGGATGGAGCAAGTCAGCAAACTGTGCACTCCACCTGCACAGGTAAATGCTCTCAGATAGGTGGGTGTCTTTGGCTGGGTTCTCTAGAGAAGCAAAACCAGTAAAGCATATAAATATATATAGAGAGAGATTTATATGAAGGAAATGGGTCACGTGGTTGTAGAGGCTGGAATATCCCAAGTCCATGGGTCAGGACAGCGGTGTCTCCTGATTCATATAGCCGCAGGGGCTGGCGAACCCAAGATCGGCAGGTCAGAGAGCAGGGCTCTTGCTCATAGGTTGCGAATATCAATGAATCCTAAGATTGGCAGGCAAGACGGCAGGTAAGCTGCTAACTCAAGTCCCAAGAACAAGAGGTCAGACGAACAGGAGCCAGCTGCAGGATCCAGAGTGAGCAAAAGCCCTCAAGCCTTGCCAGAAAGTCCACCTATATTGGATGCAGGCCACTCCACCAAGGAAACTCCCTTTCAGCTGACTGGCTGCTCACAGCAGATCCCATCATGGGCGTGATCACATATCAAGTCTCAACAGGGAAGTGATCACAGCATCGTACGACTGCCAAACCACTGAGAATCATGGCCCAGCCAAGCTGACACACAAACTTAACCGTCACAGTGGTCCATACGCCCGATGTGCGTCCACACTGTTGGAAATGATGCCTCAGCCAGCTCCAGCCAACTCACTGTGGACTGTTGTCTACTCTAGGGGACTGTCTCAGTTATCTAGTGCTGCTATAACAGAAATACCACAAGCGGATGGCTTTAACAAAGAGAAATTTATTCTCTCACAGTCCAGTAGGCTACAAGTCCAAATTCAGGGCGCCAGCTCCAGGTGAAGGCTTTCTCTGTCTGTTGGCTCTGGGGGAAGATCTTTGTCATCAATCTTCCCCTGGTTGAGGAGCTTCTCAGCACACGATTCTTCTAGCTCTTGTTTCTCGGTGGTATGAGGTCCCCATCTCTCTGCTCACTTCTCTTCTATATCCCAAAAGAGATTGGCTGAAGACACAATTCAATTTTGTAGATTGAGTCCTGCCTCATTAGCATCATAGAGGTAGGATTTACAACACATAGGAAAATCACATCAGATGACAAAATCGTGGGCAATCACACAGTACTGGGAATCATGGCCCCGCCAAATTGATACACATATTTTTGGGGGACACAATTCAGTCTATGACACGCCCTAAATCCAGCTTGATCTCATCTCAAGTCCCTTAACTTAATCACATCTGCAACAAGCCTACTTCCAGATAAGGTCAGGTTCACAGGTTCTGGGTAGACAGGAATTTGGGGAGCCCTCCTTTCACCCACCAGGGCTCCCTGCACTGCTCACCACCCACCAGATAAACACCGCTGTTCTTAGACACATCAAGGTGGCCATGGACTGTTTACCTCCTAGTTTTTATAAAAAAGGATTTAGTCTTTGGCCATGAGGGGAGCCCGGGATGAGATGGGCAGGGGCTTGGCTCCTTTGGGGGCCCATCCCCCTGTCCCCGCCAGCTGCAAACAAGCTTATCTTAAATATTTGCTTGTAAGCACACTGTGATAGACAAAAACTCCTACGAGCTTGTGAATCCCGGGACGTACACGGCAAGGATCCGAGGCAAGAACAACCTGGGCTACTTTGGGGAGACGTGGAGCAGCTGGAGCCCACCCCGGAGTTTTGGTGAGCACGGCGCCCTTTGACTTCTGCCTCCATCCTGTGGCACAGCTGTACACCACCCCTCGTTCCAGAAACACATCCCCACTCACATGGTTTCGCAGCCACTGATGGCTGGCTTTTCATTGTTTCTCCTTGATGTTCTGCTGACAACAGTGCAGGGGGTCAGAGGGCAGCCATGCTCCTCTGCTCTAGGTCCCCAAAGAACACGGTGAACCCACAGGTGGCCCTGCCCCTGCCCTCACCCTGTCTTATTTTCCTACCACTGGCTTTAAAGAACAGAAATGTATTGTCTTCTAGCAGCTGCCTGCAATCCTTGTAGACGCATCTGCCTCTGTGGCGAATAGCATCTGTATTCCCCCTGGGTGTGTCTCTGTGTCTCATCCCATCTTTTTATACCTCAGATGTGATTTAGTTTAGGATCCACCTTACACTGATATGCTTGATTACATTATGATATGGAAAATGATTACATCATATTTCATTAAATTGCATTATGGAAGGGGATTACATTACATTATGGAAGGTTAGTACATTATATTATGGAAGGTGATTGCATTACATAATTGAAGGTGACTGCATTATACTAGATTTAAATTGCATTATGGAAAATAACATTAGATTACATTGTAGAAGATGATTACATTACCCAACATAGGGGAAAGTGATTACATTACATTATGGAAGGTTACTACATTATATTATGGAAAGTGATTACATTACATTATAAAAAGTGATTGCGTTATGAAAGATGATCACATTATATTACATTACGGAAAGTGATTATATTACATTAAGGAAAATGATTATGTTACATTACATTATGAAAGATGATCACATTACATTACTTTATGGAAAGTGATTATATTACGTTCTATGTGAGGTGATTATGTTATATGACACTGAGGTGGTCACATTACATTACATGTGAGATGATCACATTCCACCACATTACAGAACAGCAAACCACTTTTTGGCCAAACCATTAGAATCATCACCTGCCAAGTTGACACATAAAATTAACCACAACGATCAACATGTCAAAATTCAAGGATGTAGCGGTCTGGCACTCGTGTGGGAAGGAGGATGGAGAAAAGCAAGTGTGTTGCTCCCCTGCGCAAACAGAGCCACCCCTCCCTTCAGGGTCTGACTCAGCTGCCTCAGCCTGGTGGCTGGACACCCCAGAGGTGAGAGTGGCAGAGAGAAGGCTGAGGGGCTTTGCTCTTCCAAAGCCCTCGAGCTGCCCCGTGGCCCTGCATGGCACCCGGGGTGAGGCTGACCCCATAATCCTTCTGTGGTCAGTCTCTTCCCCGAGACGTATCTGGGCATCAGTCTGCTGATCCATAGTGGGGAGCCCCGCAGTCCCCGCCTTGTTTCCTTTGGACTCAGCTGGTTCCTGGGCGGCAGCAGTGCTCCCAGTTGTCCTACTGGGAAGCCACCCCATGTGCCAGAGGCCACCTCCCAGGCCCCTCCCAGTCCCCAGGGGAAAGGCCACTGGCTTCGTGAAGCTGCCAGCCCGGTGCCAGCCCTGGACACCCCAGAGCGGGCCTGGAGGCACCCCCTTACACCCTTTCCTCGCAGAGTGTGACAACGACAGGAGTCTCGGGGCCTGGCCAATGATGCTGTCCATAGTGCTGGGGACACTCCTCACCGTCCTGCTCGTGGTGCTGCTCTGCAGGAGGTAAGAGTTTCACCCGCTTCTGGTTTGCGTTTTGTGAAATAATAGATCCAGGCTTCGCAGGCAGAGACTTTACTCAAATGGGTTATTGCGATAGAGGGGACTATCGGAGCCCTGGTGGTGCAGTGGTTAAGGGATTGGCTGCTAAGCAAAAGGTTGGCAGTTCAAATCCACCATCGGCTCCTTGGAAATTCTATGGGGCAGTTCTGTTCTTTACTAGAGGGTCACTATGAGTCAGAATCGACTCGATGGCAACCGTTTGGGTTTTTTTGGTTTATTGCAATAAGGAGAAGGGTCTCTTGCAACAGGCGGAGGGGCTATTGTAATATCGGGAAGGGGCTATGGACATAGGTGGATGGGCTATTGTAATATTGGGGAGGGAAGGGGCTATGGAAACAGGGGGGTGGGCTATTGCAATGGAGGGGGGGCTATTACAATAGGAGGTGGGGGCTATTTCAGGGGGGGATGGGGCTATGGCAATGGGGGAGGGGCTATTGCAGTGGGGAGGGGCTATTGAAATAGGAGGGGGAGTATTGTAATAGGGGGAGGGAGCTACTGCAATAGGGGAAGGGGCTATTGCAGTAGAGAGAACTCTCAGGCTGTGATATCTGCAAGCATCTCAGGGGTTAGGCAAAGGGGGTTTTCTTTACAGGGAGGAGTGGGCAGGGTGAGAAAGAAGTGGGTGTGGGGATGGGTGGCGGAATTGGGCAGAGATTAGGGAATCTCTCACCTTTGGGATCAGATGATTCTCTGAGGGCCCTTAAGGAAAGGCTGTGTGACAGCTCAGGCTGAGCAGCCGGAGTCCAGGGTTCTGGGGGAAGGATGGAATCCTAACCAGAGTGTGGCTAACAAGCATTTGTTGCCATTGCTGAGTGGGAACACACAGTAGAGCTAGTCACGCACAAGGCCAAAAGGGAGGACTTGGGGGCCTGTGTCTGGTCTTGTCCCTGTGTCAGCCAAGGGCCTCTACAAGTCTTCTCTGAGCCGTATGGGGAGGGGGGTCCTTTGTGGTAAGCCAATTCCCAGATGCACAGGGGTGGAGCGCTCCTCAACCTTCACTGTTTCCTGGGAGCACAACGCTCTGTAGAATTTAACATTGTCAGCTTGCGGTGGAATCAGCCAAAAACTGCACCCCGCAAAGTTGTCTATGCCCTAATCTCCCAAAACTTGTGGATGTGGTTACATCGTACAAGGGGCCTTGCAGATGTCATTAAGTCTTCACTTTCATTAAAAATATTTTTTACTTAAATTATTATTTCCATTAAAGCTTAAAAATAGGGACATTTTCCTAGATTAGAGTTCCCAGGTGTTGCAAATGGTTAAAATGATCAGCTTGGCTGCTCACTGAAAGGTTGGAGGTTCGAGTTCACCCAGAGGCACCTCGGAAGAAAGGCCTGGCGATCTACTTCCAAAACATCAGCTGTGAAAACTCTGTGGAAGACAGTTCTGCTCTGGCACACATGGGGTCACCATGAATCAGAGGCGACCTGTTGGCAATGGGTTAATTTAGGATCCTGGGGGCTACTAAGCATATTTACAGAATGAAGTGGGCAGTGCAGCCCCCACCTCCTCCCGGACAGCGGCGGGACCCCCTGCCTGGTTGGTTCACCCACAATGGGTGTCCTCCTCTCCCCTCTTTCCCCCAGGACGCCCCCCGCCCTCATGAGCTCCAGGCCAGGGGCTCCAGCCCTAGACAGCCTCCCGAGAGCACCCCAGTGAACACCCCCATGTTCTTTATGCATCACGGTCCAGGTTAAGGTTTCCTGTTCCTGATGCCCCTGGGGGCCCAGATGAGGCCCAGCACAGCTGGGAAATCAACCCCACACCGGAGGTCCTCCCTGACGAGGCTCAGGGACCCTCCTTCCACAGGGCAGGGGCAGGCCTGCAGACGGCTCCCCACCCAGTCCCAGACCCCTGCTGCCTCCACAGAGCCATCTCCAACCCCACGCAGCCTGCTGGCCCCTGCCCAGCCTCGGGATCACTCTCCAGGGGCACCCCAGCGCCGGCTCTGGGTCCGTCCCTCTCTCCCATCTGGCTCCAGACGCCCCACCCCTGCCCCGTCAGGCTGGTCCTTTCTCGCCGCAGGGCTCTGTTTTCGATGGCAATGGAGCAGCGGCCCTAAGTGGCGGACACCTGTGGGGTGTGGCCATGGTGAGGGGCTGCAGTGCTCCTTGGAGGGCGCCGGCCGGTGTCAGGTGCACACAGGTGACTGAGAACAGGTGAGAGCAATGCACCCTCCCCAGGAAGGCAGACATGCAGGCTTTGATTTCTAACCCCCCGGGACTACTGCCTCCTACCCCCACCATCTGTAGACAAGGGGTGAAGGGCCCTGGACTGGGGCTGGGAGTGCTCCCCACATGGATGGGAGGGGTGGCAGATGAGACCCCTGGAGATGGAGCCCACAGACACAGGGCTCCCTCTCCAGATCCCAGGCCTGAGTCTGTCCAAAGATGGACGTCCTGGTTGGGGACAGCCTGGGGGACGTAGGTCAGGGCGCAGCCCAGCGGGCCGAGGGTCCAGCCGCTAACACCAGTTGGGTGACCTCAGGCAGGGACTCACCCTGCTGGCCTTGGTGTTACCAAAACAACAAAAGCGTTGCCTTGGAATCTATTCCAACTCATAGCGATCCTATAGGACAGGGTAGAACTGCCCCATAGGGTTTCCAAGGTTGTAATTTTAATGGAAGCAGATGAGTGCTTAAGCGCTGCGCCACCAGGACTCCTTGTGCTGCGTTGACCAAAAAAGAACCAAACCCGCTGCCATCATGTCAACCCTACAGGACAGAGCAGAGCTGCCCCACAGGGCTTCCAAGGAGGAGCTGGCAGATTCCAGCTGCCCACCTCGTTGTCAGTAGCCATAGCTCATAGCTCTTAACAACTGCGCCACCAGGGCTCCGCTTCTACGCGTTGCTGTTGTTATTAGGTGCCGTCGAGCTGGTTCTGACTCCTAGCGACCCCATGTACAACAGAACGAAACCCTGCCCAGTCCTGCACCATCCTCACAATCATTGTTATGCTTGAGCCCATTGTTGCAGCCACTGTGTCAGTCCATCTCCTTGAGGGTCTTCCTCTTTTTCACTGACTCTCTACTTTACCAAGCGTAATGTCCTTCTCCAGGGACTGATCCCTCCTGGTAACATGTCCAAAGTCTGTGAGACGTGGTCTCGCCATCCTCGCTTCTAAGGAGCGTTCTGGCTGTGCGTCTCCCGGGCTAGGTTTGGAGCACGGGCTGAATTCCTCTTCCCCAGGTTCTCTGTGGTCCAGAAAATCTTCCCTCCAGTCCCTGGGATAAGAGACCCCATCAAGGACTTCTTTCATAACAACAGGCTGGTGTGTGGCTTCTTGCCTTCTGTCCTCAGTGGGTCCGGGACTGGGGTGGCGCGTCCCCGCCCGGGAGGGCGCTGGTGGTGGTCGGCAGGGAGGCTGCCCTGTGAGGATGCCAGGGGGAACCTGGAGCCCAGTGAGCCCGGTTCTGGGACCAGGCAGCCCTCACAGCTCTTCTCTGTGTGGGGACATCTCCTGACTCAGCCCTCCCTCCTCCCCACAGGTGGACTGGGAAGCCGGCGCAGAGGGCTGGCAAGAGTGCTCAGTGGAAGAAGTGCAGGCTGTGGGGGAGACATAAGCCCAGGGCGGCCGCGCGGATGAATGGATGTTTATAGGGGCTGTGGGGGCGGATCCCAACACCACTCAGCCTGAAAGGGCTGCCTGGGAATATGGGACTGTCATGATTGAACTGTGTCCCCTAAAATCTGTTGGAATCTGAACCCCTATACCTGTGGATGTGATTCCATTTGGGAACAGGCATTTCTTTGTTATGTTAATGAAGCCCTATCTGTGTAGGGTGGATCTTAAATCAGTCTCTTTTGAGATATAAAAAGAGCAGATTAAGCAGGTCCAGATGGGGGAGATAGATTCCCCATAAAATCTCCAAGGAACCAGACTGAGGACTTTGCCCAGAGCCCACAGAGAGAGCCTTCCCCAGAGCCGGCGCTGTGCGCTCGGGACTTGTAGCCTCCCGAGCTGGGGAAAAATACGTTTCTGTTGGTGAAAGCCACCTAACTGTGGTATTTCTTTCTTTTTTAAAAATGTTTAAACACTGTCAACTTCCCCCATGTTTGTCGCCTTTCCCTTCACCAGTATTAACTCGTGTCTTCTATTTAATTGGTAAGTTTCCTTCCCCTCCCTTGTAACCATCAAAGAAGTGTTTCTTTTTTTCCTGGGGGTAAAGCTTTGGTTGTTACTTTACAGTAGAGGTCGGATACAGTATGTCCTTTTGTGATTGACTTATTTCACTCAGCATAATGTCCTCCAGATTCATCCATGTTATGAGATGCTTCACAGATTCATCCTTGTTCGTTATCATTTCGTAGTACTCCATTGTGTGTATGTACCATAGTTTGTTTATCCATTCATCTGTTGATGGGCGTCTAGGTTGTTTCTTTTTGCTATTGTGAACAATGCTGCAGTGAACATGGGTGTGCATATGTTTATTCGTGTGACACCTCTTATTTCTCTAGGATATATTTCTAGGAGCGGGATTGCTGGATCGTACGGTACTTCTGTTTCTAGCTTTTTAAGGAAGCGCCAGATCAATTTCCAAAATGGTTGTACCATTATACATTCCTACCAACAGTGCATAAGTGCTCCATGAGCTTACCTTGTACAAGTTGTGCTGGCTTCCCCAGTATTGTGTACTGTCTTACCCTTCACCAAAGTTACCACTTATCTATTGTCTATTTAGTCCCCCCCGCACCCCTCCCATCCCTCATAACCAACAAAGATTGTGGCTTTTCTGCGTAAACCTTTTCATGAGATTTTACAGAAACAGTCTCATATAGTATTTGTCCTTCTGTGACTGACTAAATTCACTCCGCATAAATGTCCTCCGGTCTCACCCATGTTATGAGATGCTTCACAGATTCATCGTTGTTCTTTCTCGTTGCATAGTACTCCATTGTGTGTATGTACCATAGTTTGTTTATCCATTCATCTGTTGATGGGCATCTAGGTTGTTTCCATCGTTTTGCTATTGTGAACAATGCTGCCATGAACATAGGTGTGCATATGTCTATTCGAGTGACGACTCTTATTTCTCTAGGATATATTCCTAGGAGTGGGATTGCTGAATCGAATGCTATGTCTATTTCTAGCTGTGGCGTTTGTTACAGCAGCACTAAGAGACTAAGAGAGAGAGCAAACCCGTGTGAGACGTCCCATCTCCTAATAAAGTGCTGTTTTCTCTGCTGTCACCCCTGCGGGATCATGCCCACCCTGAGCCCCGCACCCTCCCTCGTCCCAGCCGGCTGTCCCACTGACCAGCCCATGATTTGTTCCCTCCTGGCCCCGCCTGGTGTCCCACCTTTAATACAGTGACACCCACGAGAGCCGGAACCTTGTTTTTCCAGCTCTGGCAGGCTTTCCGCCACTGACAGGGTGCAATCTTACCACTTTTCTGTGGCTCCTTGGAGCGGAAAACAATCGCGCTTTCCTTCTCCGACAGCTTGCCGTCTCCCACAGGTTCCGGCTTTCACAGGTCTTACGGTGTGTCTCCTGACTGTGAGCACCTGAGATGGTTCACGTAACAAGGCAGGGTCCAGCTTCCCTGAACCAGCTGTGTGTGCACAAAAGCGAACAAAACAAACCGTTGCTGTCGAGTTGATCCCAACTCACGGCGCCCCCGTATGTGTCAGAGTAGAGCTGAGCTCCATAGGGTTTGCAATGGCTGACTTTGCAGAAGTAGGTCGCCAGGACTTTCTTCCAAGGTGCCTCTGGGGGCTGACTATCTGACTATTCTGTTTCTTCCTTCGCTTTCCGCTTTCCCAGCTCCTGACATCTTTAAATCAAACCAGCAGCCGCTGTTGAGTTGACTCTGACTCATGGGTGCCCCCATGTGTGTCAGAGTGGAACTGACCTCATAGGGTTTTCACGGGGATGCGCACGACCGCGCAGCGTTTCGTTCCATTAGGCATGCGGTCCCCATGAGTCAGGGCCTACTGGACAGTTGTCGCTAGGTGCTGTCAAGTCTCTTCCGACTCACAGCGACCCTACGTACAACAGAACGAAACACTGCCCAGCCCTGCGCCATCCTCACAATTGTTATGTTTGAGCCCATTGTGGCAGCCACTGTGTCAATCTATCCCGTTGAGGGCCTTTCTCTTTTTCGCTGACCCTCTACTTTACCAAGCATGATGTCCTTCTCCAGGGACGGATCCCTCCTGGTAACATGTTCAAAGTCTGTGAGACGCAGTCTCTCCATCCTCGCTTCTAAAGAGCATTCTGGCTGTACTTCTTCCAAAACAGATTTTTCGTTCTTCTGGCAGTCCGTGGGATATTCAATATTCTTCGCCAACATCGTAATTCAAATGCGTTCATTCTTCTTTGGTCTTGTTGTTGCTGTTAGGTGCCGTCAATCATTTCCGACTCATAGCTATGTACCCTATGTACAACAGAGCGAAACACCGCCCGGTCCTGTGCCATCGTCACAATCGTTATGCTTGAGGACATTGTTGCAGCCACTGTGTCAATCCATTTCGCTGACTCAACAATAGCTAACAGTAATTAAGCAAGGCCCTCAGCACCCAGGTAGATGTACTCTTCTTTACCAGATTAAAATGTAAGAACTCATTGCCGTCTAGTCAATTCCAACTCACAGTGACCCTATAGGATGGAGCAGAACTGCCCCCTAGGGTTTCCAAGCAGCGGCTGGTGGATTCCAACTGCTGACCTTTTGGTTAGCAGCTGAGCTCTTAACCACTACACCACCAGGGCTCCTGAAACATAGGAAGGGGTGGAAATATGTGCGAACACTGAGTCGAGCAGTTCCCAGAGCTCCAGCTCAGGGAGATGGAAAGCTCCAAGCTGCTCTGTTCCAAACCCTGGGCTCTAGGCAAAAACCATGGCACCTGGCTGCCCCACGGAAGATGGATGCCGACGACCTCTGGGCCTGCTCTGTGGAAGGCCTGTCCTGTCATCCACCACCCTCCATCCTGCTCCCAGGAACCTGCCACGGGACAGTGCAGAGCCCAGGCCCCCACCTCCTCACCTCTCACCGAAGCTAGTGATTCTGAAGCAGAAACGATGGTGTCTGTGTGCAGATGCCTCGAGATCCGAGACCACAAGGTTCTGCCCACAGAGTCCAGGGTTTCTGGAGAGCCCACAACGGCAGACTTTTGGAATTCCCTGCAGCCTTCCCAGCTTGCTGCATGTGCAACGTCAAATCCGAGGCACGGCTTCGCCGCGTGCGTCAGAGTAGAACTGTGCTCCACCAGGTTTTCAGTGACTGATTTTTCAGAAGCAGATTGCCAGGTCTTTCGTCCGAGGTGCCTGAGTGGACTTGAACCTCCAACCTTTCAGTTAGCAGCTAGCTGCGTGTAGCCATTTGCGTAATATACCAAAATACCACCAGTTTCAAATACCACCCCTTGGTGGACAGGTTTCAGAAAAGATTCCAGACTCAGACTAGGAAGAAAGGCCTGGCGATCTACTTCCAAAAATTAGCCAGTGAAAACCTTAGGGATCACAACAAAACACTGCCCCACTCGCTTTCTTTGGACACATCATCAGAGCAGAACTGTGCTCCATAAGGTTTTCAATGGCTGATTTTTTGGAAATAGATTGCCAGGGCTTTCTTCTGAGCACTTAACCGTTTGTCCCACTTGGAAACTACCAGTCGGAATGGACGCTCCAAACACCCAGTGTTCTGTCACGAATGTGGAACATGTGAAAAGGAAGCCGAGGGACAGAGGAAGGCTGTTCTGTCTCCGGGTGGCCGGCACACTTGGGCAGGTTTACGCTGCCTCTGCAGTGGGGTTCCTCCAGGTGAGCACAGGGCAGAGGTGGGTCTCCGGATGCAAACCTGCCGGCACCCTGTTGGGAGACCCCCTGGTGATGCGGGACCCACTAAGAGTGGTCCTGAGGGGCTACTACTGGCTGGAGTGGTGGAAGAGCACAGCGGAAGAGGACATCCCGGATGGGAGGCTCGGACGCACCTGTGTGAAGGCCCAGGCCCCTGGCATTCACCTGGGCTCACCCACAGAACCAGGAGCGGCTTCTCGCACAAGCCAAGCTGAAGACTGGCATCAGCCTGGGCTGTGTCCTTCACCCGCGTGGGCTCCAGACCCCGCTTGTCCTCTGTGCCCCCAGGGCTGTTCTGAGGACCCCATAAGCACAACCCAGTGGAGGGCCTGCCTCAGGGGGAAACTGCCCCCGACGCTTGCTGGTGCTGCGGGGGGCCCTGGAGGCAGCTGAGCTGCCATCAGCCTGGCTGCCTACCAGCACTGCAGACGAGCAGGGGACCCACCTGTGTGAACGCCCGCCGCACTGTACCATTTACCTGGGCTCATCCGCAGACCCAGGAGCAGCCAGAAAAGAGCCATCAGGAACCCAGGCTCCAGCCTTCACCTGCGTGTGGGTTTCAATCTCCCCAGCTGGCTGGCCGCCGAGCCCCTCCAGTCCTCTGAGGACCCCGTACCACAATCCCCAGTGGAGGCCCTGCCTGGGGAGAGAAGACCCCCTCGCAGGCCCTTTGTGTCCCCGTCAGAACCCCCGAGAGCGCAGAGAAGCACACTGTTCCAAGTCCTGTTTTTATTGTCGCGCAGCAGAATGACCCCCGTGACGCATCACAGCGGGATCCAGCTGAGCTGAGAGGAGCTAGCACTGACGGGCAGGTAGGAAACACGATCGTAAATAAATACTCGACATGATGGGAGGGAGGAGGGGTGACAGGCGTCGTCTGGAGGTGGGGTCCTCGGGTAGCCCACTGTGGACCCACGGTATTGGTCATGATCCCTACCCCGAGACAATCAAGACACGGATCGGCTGTGGAATGGTCAGATGTGGTCACAACGAGCCCCTTGCGGCGCGTCCCCTAGCCCTCTAAGGACATGATCTGCGCTGGAGAGGAACAAGGGGACTTTCCTGAAGGTCAGTGGTCCCTAGCGGATGGGTGTGGTTCTATGTGGTTGGCCGGCCCCTCTTCCCTGCAGGCAGTGGCAGCGGCTGGCGATGACCTTAGATGACCTTCTTGAGCTCGTCATAGAGGACCAGCACGAAAGCCCCGCCCATGCCCCGCAGCACGTTGGACCAGGCGCCCTTGAAGAAGGCCTTGCCGCCCTCATCCTTGAGGATCTTCCGCCAGCAGTCCACCGTCCCGGTGTACATGATGTCGGCTGCGAGAGGGAGTCAGGGGGTCACCGAGGAGGGACCCAGGAGATGGGCCAACCCAGACCGGGTAAGAACGCCCAACACCGCCACCCAGCGCCCCGCTAGGTGGACGGGGAGAGGGCCTTGGTTAGTCAGGACAACTCAGGCCTCCATGGTCTCCAGCTCTACGCAGCGCCCACACACACATGCACTCTGGACAGACAGACCTGGTGATGGCAGGGAGGGAACGGGCAGGAGGCAGGGAGGGGCTCAAAGACCCAGATAGGGGGTGCCGCTCTAGGATGGGGGTTCAGCGAGCACGGCCTCCAGAAAGGTACACATGAAGAGACCTTAAGAAATTCCTCTCTGCAGCCAGCTTACCCTGATGAAGACCTCTCCCAAATCTCTGAGGAACGCCTTATCTGACTGTCCCAGGCCCCACGAGCGGGGACAGACAGCCGGCCAAGAAGCTCCTATCCTTCCCGCTCCCCACGATCGCCCCCCGCCGCGCAGGTACCTCCTTTGCGCCCCGACTGCATCATCATGCGCCGCCGCACGGTGTCGAAGGGGTAGGAGACAACCCCAGCCACAGCCGTCACCGTCTGAGCGATCATCCAGCTGATGACGATGTGTGTGTTCTTGGGGTCGGGCAGCATGCCTGCGGGCAACCATCGGAGTCAGGCGCCGGGACACAAGCGCCCATGACCCATGACCGCAGTGAAGACTGGAGCTGCTCACACCTCCCGCCCCCTGCCTCCAGGCCTCCAAGTGAAGCCCTCCAGGACCAGAGGTGTTCACCCTGAGACCTGAGGGTCAGGACTGCGCAGAACAGGCAAGAGCTCCTTAGACAGGGACAGACAGATGAACAGATAAACGAAAAACAGACAGCACACAGGGCATCTCGTGCCAATGCAGAGCCTGCCCTGAGACCTGAGGGTCAGGACTGCGCAGAACAGGCAAGAGCTCCTTAGACAGGGACAGACAGATGAACAGATAAACGAAAAACAGACAGCACACAGGGCATCTCGTGCCAATGCAGAGCCTGCCCTGAGACCTGAGGGTCAGGACTGCGCAGAACAGGCAAGAGCTCCTTAGACAGGGACAGACAGATGAACAGATAAACGAAAAACAGACAGCACACAGGGCATCTCGTGCCAATGCAGAGCCTGCCCTGAGACCTGAGGGTCAGGACTGCCCAGAACAAGGGTTCCTTAGACACAGACAGGTTAGATGGACAGACAGACAGAGACTGGGAGAGCAAGCTTAGCGCCCAGAGCGGTCCTTCTAGAGCAGGGAAGGGAAGAAAGACACCCCACCCCCAACGGCCATCCTCCGCACAACCAGGCAGCAAGGCCCTGGCCTCCTGCCTCAGCCGCCCAGTCCGCACCGCCCCCTGGCCAGCAGCCTCACCTTTGGCCGTGTCGTAGATGCCAAAGTAGGCCGCCCGGTAGATGATAATACCCTGCACAGACACGTTGAAGCCCTGGTACAGGCCGCGGACGCCGTCCGACTTGGTGATCTTCACCAGACAGTCTCCCAGGCCCCTGAACTCCCGCTCCGCGCCCGATTTGCCAACGTCGGCTGCCAGGCGGGTTCTGGCGAAATCCAGTGGGTAGACGAAGCAGAGGGAGGTGGCGCCGGCAGCCCCGCCGGAGGCCAGGTTGCCAGCAAAGTACCGCCAGAACTGCTTGTGCTTGTCCACCCCGCCCAGGAAGATCTGCTTGTACTTGTCCTTGAAGGCGAAGTTGAGGGCCTGGGTGGGGAAGTAGCGGATGACGTTGGCCAGGTTGCCCCGCCAGAAGGACAGCACGCCTTGCTCCTTGGGGATGCGTACGATGCAGTCCACAATGCCCTTGTACTGCTTGTCGGCCGCGATCTGCTTGCTGGCATGCTGTACCTGGGGGCGAGAGGGGGCGTGAGGCCTTGGTGTGCCCAGACACCCCGATCACTAAAGGCGCGTCCTCACAAAGCTAGTGACGTCGACGTGACTGTGCACTGCCGTGTCGGCTCACAGACGCTGCACCCGAGAGCTGCAGGGGGCGGTGAGGCCTCCGTGTGTCCGGAAACACGCATGGCGGCACCAACGGTTTGTACTCGGCTGCTAACTCTAACCCACCCAGTGGTGCTGTGGAAGAAAGGCCTGGCGATCTGCTCCTGTAAAGATTACAGCCTAGGAAACTCCACAGGGCAGTTCTGCTCTGTTAACACACGGGGTTGCCGTGGGTCAGAATCAACAGGGCTGGTTTTTTTTGGGTGGGGGTTGTTTAAAGAACGAGCGCTTTTGTAAAACGACTGTCACGGGCGTCTGTTCCCCGCCCTCACAGTTCAGAGGTGTCATACCCGAGAACAAGTGCACAGAACTACGAGGGTGCTCCAGATCAAGGCCCGAATCTAAACCCAGAAAACGGCCTTATTAACAAACGAGCATTTTTATAAAACCAGTATCGCAAACGGGACAGTCTGACTGCCCCATCAAGCAGGAACCCGTAAGTCCCTCCTCAATCACGGGAGTCGCTGGGTGGCACAAAGGGTGAACGTGCTCAGCTGCTGACTGAAAGACTGGAGGTTTGTGTCCACCCAGAGGTGCCTCAGAAGAAAAGCCTGGTGGTCTACTTCTGAAAAATCAGCCACTGAAAACACCACGGAGGTTAAGTGTTTCTACTGATACAAGGGAGGTCGTTCTGAGTCACAGTCCACGGCCAGCGGTTTACTCAGCTGCAACCTCAGCTGCTCAATCTTTCAGTGATTCCCGTCACATTAGAAATTATTCCTTGGTGACGATTTTATGAGTAGCCTATCAGGATAGAATACAACTGCCCCAAGGATTTCTAAGGCTGTCATCTTTAGGGAAGCAGACAGCCACATCTTTCTCCCAGGGAGCAGCTAGTGGGTTCAAACCACCTTACCTATTGGTTTGCAACGGGAGCTCTTAATCACTGCACCACCAGGGCTCCTCAAAGAACATTACAAGGTCCTAAACAGACCGGCAAGTGGCCAGCTACTTTTGGTTACAGTTTAAACCACAACGTTCTAAAGTAAGTTTGCAAGTATCTGCTACTTTTGGTAAAGGTCACTGAGGGTGAGACTGGGGGGGTTCGTACACAACCACACCAAAGGGAAGAGGAACAGCCCCACCTGACGGCTCTAATCTCCAGAAGCCCATTGTTTTCAATGAAAACCGATTCATGGAGCACTAGTGTCCCAGCAACAATTTTGCAAGCAGCTTGCTACATGTAGTAAGAGTTTCCCCACGGGTGAGACCAGATTCCCTCAGAGTTAGGACTGCACAGACACACCCTGCAAATATAAAGCACAAGGAGCGCCTGCTTTATAGACGCACTTTGTAAGGAAACCAGCTTAGGAGAATTTTTTTTGATAGGTGGGCTTGGGACTAGAGAATGTTGCAGTTTCTGAGTAAAATCTGTGCTTAGAGAGTTAATCGTTGCGTGAATTGCATTTTGATGGAAATGAATTCCTAGACAAAGGCCTTTACTGACTCCCACCTGGTAACACCACCTGTTCAAGTCTGAAGTCAGGCAGGGACAGAATTCTCAATTACATTAATTCTTGTTCAGCCATTCCGACTCATAACGACCCATGTGTGTCAGGTACAACTGAACTCCACAGGGTTTCCAATGGTTGATTTTTCAGACGCAGATCACCAGGCCTTTCTTCCAAGGCACCTCGGGGGCAGGGGTTCAAAGCTCCAACCTTTCGGTTAGCAGCCAAGCATCTTAACCACTTTCACCACCCCAAGCCAAATCAAACCCAGTACCACCGAGTCGACTCCAACTCACAGAGATCCTTTAAGGACAGAACAGAACTGCCCCACAGGATTTCCAAGGCTGTAAAATTTTTACAGAAGCAGACAGCCACATCCTTCTGCGGTGCCGCTGCTGGTTTCAAACCGCTGAGCTGTTGGTTGGCAGCTGAGCGCGCTCATCACTGCGCCACAAGACACTCCTAAAGACCAATCGTCATGAAATCGACCACAACTCACAGAAACCTCACGTGCGGCGTAGAACTATGCGGCAGAGGGTTTCCAGCGGTTGATTTTTCGGAAGCAGATCGCCAGGCACTTCTTCCGAGGCGCCTCTGGGTGGACTCGAACTTCCAACTGTTTGGTTAAGAGTCTAGCGCTTAACTGTTTGCGCCACCCAGCCGCCCTCTGCGAATTCACTTTCGTCATAAGGAGACTGACCCAGAAACTGGCTTTCTAAGCTCACATTTCTGCTCCAGAAACTGTCAAGAACCTCTACGCTCCCAGGTCCGCCTGTCAAAAATTGCAACCGATGTGAATAACCACACAAGCCCCTTTCAGACACCGTCTCGGCATCTGTCCTTCCTCGGGAAGGACGTGTGCACACGTGGGGGTTTGTCTGAGCTCATGAACCTACGTTTAAACTCCAATGGGAAAAAGGAACTTTAAGGGAGCCTCCGCCCCGGGGCAGGAGGCGCAGGGGTGGCCACTGGGGGTGGGAGCGGCCCCAGCTGAGGGTCAAAGTCCTCCCGTTCCGATAATCCTCCCAAGGTCACGACCTGCCTGCTGCAGAGCTCTTCTGCGCTTCCGGATCCCGGCGCCAGAGCGCATGCGCGCAAGGTCCAGCGACGGGCCCCGCCCCAACGCATGCGGCAGCGCCCCCACGTGACCCAGCACCTCCCCGCCCCGGAAGCCGGCTGCGCGGACAAAGCAGTCGGGGCCTTGCACTTCCGGCACCGGTCCCCGTGCACGCGGCCGGCCCGGCCTGACCCCCACGTCCCTTCCGTGCATCTCCCTCCGGGCCCGGGGTCATCCCCGCCCGCCGCCCACCTGCAGCAGCAGCTTGACCCGTTCGATCGGGGCCACGGCCGTCTTGGAGATGGCAGCGGCGATGCCGCCCGCCAGGAAGTCCTTAGCGAAGGAGATGGCCTGTTCCGTCATGGTCGCGGAGCGCGCTGTGGAGCGGACAGAAAGCTGGCGTGGACGTGCGAGGGCCGGGAGGGTTGGCGTCGCTGGCTCTGCCGCCGCCGCCG